ACAATTTGAGTTCAGGAAAAATTCTCAGTTCTCTCTCCCCAGCCCACCGTCCTTCAGCCAACAGTCTCTCAAAGTCTCTTTCCCAGCAGTGCTGGTCCCTCGGTGTCTCATTCAGCAATGCGTGTCTCTTTCCCAGCAGCACGTGTCTCGTTCAGGAGCACGTGTCTCTTTCGGCAGCATGTCTTCCTCAACCAGCAGTCAGAGAGAGTTCTGCCTCTAGGAGGCCTCCTTTTGAGCCCAGAAGGGTGGTCAAACTAGGCAATCGCAGCATCAGAACTCTAAGCATGTGAGAGAGAGTGGGAACTTCGCAGAACATTGTATTGTGCCACGCCCAACAGAAATAACCCAGGTGGATAGCTTCAGCAATCAGGAGCTCCTCAATTGCTCATAGAAAATCCCACCTTGGAGTTTACAAAGACTTATGGGTAGAAAAGCCACACTAAGTAATTTACTATACTGCAGCAACCATTTTTAAATTATTTTCAGTAAGATTTTACTTGCATGCAACATTAATGATATAGTTCAATAATTTCCACATTCTGTGGAATCACCTTTCTTTGGAATGGGTACTAATACGGATCTCTTCCAATCAGTTGGCCAGGTAGCTGTTTTCCAAATCTCTTGGCATAGCCTAATGAGTGTCTCCAGTTTGTTGACACATCTCAATGGGTGTTCTGTCAATTCCTGGAGCCTTGTTTTTTGCCAGTTCCTTCAGTGCAGCTTTGACTTCTTTCTTCAGTACTGTTGGTTCTAGATGTCACCTACTGAAATGGATGAACATCAACCAATTCTTTTTGGTACAGTGACTCTATGTATTCCTTCCATCTTCTTTTGATGCTTACTGCATCATTCAATAGTTTGCCCATAGAATCTTTCAAAATTGCAACTTGAGGCTTAAATTTTTTCTTCAATTCTTTCAGCTTGAGAAATGCCAAACGTGTTTTTCTTTTTTGGTTTTCTAACTCCAGGTCTTTGCACATTTCATTATTGCAATTGGATTTGTCTGCTTGAGCTGCTGTTTGAAATCTTCTGTTCAGCTCTTTTATCTTGTCATTTCTTCCATTGGCTTTAGCTACTCTCCACTCAAGGGCAAGTTTCAGAGTCTCTTCTGAAATCCATTTTGGTCTTTTTTTTCTTTCTTGTATTTTTAATGACCTCTTGCCTTCTTCATGGATGATGTTCTTGATGTCATCCCACAATTCCTCTGGTTTCGGTCATTGGTGTTCAATGCGTCAAATCTGTTCTTTAAATGGTCTCTAAATTCAGGAAGGATATATTCAAGGTCATATTGTGGCTCTTGTGGACTTGTTTTAATTGTCTTCAACTTCATCTTGAACTTGCATATGAGCAGTTG